ATGGGGGTCGGGATGGGAGTAAGAGAAACAGGTGGGAAAGAAAGGAGGCGCCAGCAGTAGCATGTTTTCGCTTATTCGCCCTGCTGTATGCAGCAGATAAGGTGACCCTTGAGAATCTGCTCCGAGGTTGATGCACGATGAAGTTTATGTTTGAAGGAAAAGTCATGGTTGTATGTGGGCTGGAATACTGCCAGGGCGCCCAGACCTAGACAGGAGGACGATTAGGGTCCTCATCCAAAGCCTTTGGCTGAAAAGCCTGTCCGCAAGGTAGCGGGGAGGTGGCAATGATTTAGTTTTAAAGAAATGGACGGTATCCTATTTGAAACCCCCAACCTGGAGGAGCAGGAGACTGAGTTTGTCTGACCTCTCACCATTGACCAACCTGGTAGGAGTATCTCTCAAGATGCCCACAGGCACCACTCAGTATAGTTCAATGGGTCAAGAAGGTACGCAAACCGTCGCATCTCGTGAAGGTCCAGTCTCGTGAAAATTTCAGTGGTATCCGCAAGCGGTGAAACCAGTCTGAGCGTCGTACTCGGGTCCTGTAAACTGGTCTCACTGAGACAGCAGACGTCAACGGTCGTAGTTTCTAGAGTGGGAGCAAGAGCTCATCATCATCATCATTATACACATGAGCTAGAGGTGAGAAAACACCTCCGCTATTGTGCCGCAATACATGAAGGAAATACATACATACATATAATACAATACAGAATGGAAAAATAGATACAACAGTTGCATGCCAGCTGAGCTACCAGCAACGGATAGGCATCGTTTCTGTAAGCTTCCAGCCAGCTACTAGGCAAAAGGAAAAATATTATTGTTTTTGCTCTACGAAATAAGATCGTAGATGGAGGGGGGCTAAAAGGGATGGGGAGGGACAAAGAAACTCACAGGATGAACTCCACAGAGGTCGGCTTCTTGCCATGTCAGCAAGTGTATCCAGCCAAACGTGTTCACCGTCTTTTGTACCCCAACCAAGGAGCCGTGACGCTCCAACCCAGGCCAGCTCCGAAGTGAGGGACTTCATTCCCCTGGACCAAGTCATCGCTTGTCCACCTCTCCTCTTCTTTCACCCACATCCCCGGTGAGCAAACAACGCATATCGAGGGAGTCGGTGGGCTAGCATGCGTAACACGTGGCCGAGCCATCGGAGCCTGGTGCGTGAAATAACGGTGCTGAGCGGTTCACATCCTTTTCCTGTGCCGTAAACAATGCGTCGAACACGCTGGTTACTCACGCGGTGTTCCCACCAGATGTGAGCCAAACTGCGAAGGCACCGATGGTCGAACGTAACTAGCCTCTTCATGTCCGCCGACCTTAGGGGCCACGTTTCGCAGCGGTACAGTAAGGTCGAACGTACCGCTGCATTGTTCACTCTATTTTTCAGGGCGTGAGTGATGTCGCGCCGCCGCCATAAGTGGCGAAGGTTAGCAAAAGCACTTCGAGCTTTCGCTACACGGTTCGTGATCTCGTCTTCGATCCCGAGGGCGCTGATACAACTTCCCAGGTAATTGAGTTTCTGAACGACTTCTAGCTGATCCCCACCAAGGGTCAGCACAGGAGGCTATCCCTGCCACTCTTTGAGGAACGCTTTGCACTTCGATGGTGCAAAGCAACGCCCGAAGCGGCTGGCAGCCAGTGCTAATCTGTCCAGCGCGGCTTGACACGTCTGGGAGCTGTCACAGATGAAGGCAATGTCGTCTGCATACTCCAAGTCGAGAAGTCGTTCTCCTGGGAGTAGCTCCACACCTTCTAAGTCATGTCCTGTAAATGCAATCTCCATGGCTTCGTCAATAGCGAAGTTGAAGAGGAAAGGTGACAGCGGGCACCCTTGTCTCACACCGCTGGAGATATTGAAGGGTGGCGACAGCTTGCCGTAAGCCCTCACTCTGCCCGTGCTACTCGCATGTAGTGCTTGGATAATATTTAAGTATTTCTCGGGCACACCTTTTCTGAGTAAACAATTCCAAAGGACACATCGATCAACCAAATCGAAGGCACCTTTGATGTCAAGGAACACGACTAGGGTGGGCCGCCAATATGTGTGACGGTGCTCCAACAACTGACGCAAGGTGAAGATGTGGTCGATGCAGCCACGACCACGACGAAACCCGGCTTTCTCCTCACGAATCTGGCTTTCATGAGCGCCAGTCAGTTTGTGAAGAATTATGGAGGCGAGTAATTTGGATGCTATGGAGATCAGACTGATTCCTCTATGGTTGCCGCATTCCGAGTGCGAGCCGCCTTTGAAGATGGGAACAATAACGGAGCGGCTCCAGTCGGTTGGGACAGTCTCCTGTTCCCACAGTTTCACTAGTAATTCATGTAAAGCATCAACAAGAGCAGAGCCTCCGAATTTGAAGAGGGCTGGAGGAAGATCATCAGGTCCCGCGACTTTGTTCAACTTCAACAGTCCGATGTCACGTTCGGCTTCTGAGCGAGAGGTTGGATCCAAAGGGACAGCCCACGGAGCAGGGCGTTCATATCCCCCGCCAGCACAACAGTGTCCGTGCTTCTTCTGTGGCGAAGGAACTGAGTCAGTCGGCGGTAGAAGTCGTTCTTTACCGAATCATCGCTACAGTTTGTGAGCACGTAGGCAGCGATGATGAATAGACACCTATTAGTCCCGCGCGACTTCCAAGCTTTAAACGAGCCAGCCAATGGAACCGCACACATCCGGCTACTGATTGGAATCCAATCAACCAGAGCAGCTTCAGCCCGGGGACTCAGGGAAATGCCAACACCAGCTTGGCCAGTGCTCGAAGCTGCATCGTCACCGGACAGGCGCACTGAGAAAATACTGTTTGCGTCACCTGAAGGGGATCGCAAAGTCAGCCAGAGCTCGAGTCTTGCAGGCGGGTCTCTGATAAGCAGCAGATATCGATCGAGAGGGTCTCCAATGTTCGGGCAAGTGCTACCTGTTGACCGATCTGTAGTAGTTTGCGTACATTAAGGCATGCCAATCTGAAGGAGGATCGAGGGCTCCAAATGGAAGCCGATGAACTGGAATGGACCGCTTCATTGGACATGGGCTTGTCGACAGGAGAGGAGTGACGCTCCGCGTTCAGATGTGAGTTGAAATTAGAAGATAAATGCCTAGCAAAGCATGTTGGGGGAGGGCCAAGAATCGGGGGTTGAAAACTGGGGGATATAAGTGAAGTTGGAAAGGGACGGTAAGAGTGAAAAAGCGTAAGATGGGGATAAGAATACGGGAAGGCTTGAGCAGTAGCATCCAAACCCCTATCCACCCTGCTCGATGCAGCAGATAGGGCACCGTTGATTATCCTCTGCGGTGGCCAGAGCATCAGAAATTGTTTGAGGTCAGATTCATGGTATTGCGTGGGCAGGATACTGTCATGTTGCCCAGGCCTAGACAGGAGAATGATTAGGGTTCTCAACCAAAGCCTTTGGTTCAAAAACCTGACCGCAAGGCAGCGGGTTTGGCGTTGGGCTACAAGGAGCCCGTTTTAAGGAATAAGGTGCCATTTCATTCTAACCCCCAACCTGGAGGGCCAGGAGGCTGAGTTTGTCTGGCCTCTAACCATTGACAAATCTGGTATGAGTGACTCTGAAGGTGCAAAAGCACCACCCAGCATAGCTCAATGGATCGCTGAGGAGCAAGAGCTACATGTGATCCGATCTGTATCAGCTTAAATTGGGAACGGAGCACTAGAAATGGCTTGATAAAACGACTTGACACACCCTTGGACCTAAGCTCCGCGAAAACGCTTGCCCAAGTCGGCACAGTATTGTGGACTCAGGAACGGAGGGGAAAGACCAAGAATGGGGGTTGAAGAAACGTGGTACGGTAACACTTGGTTTGGCAGGTTCGGCCGCCAGCACCTCGGCCGAGGGGAGCAGTTCCAATGTCTAGAGAAATAGAGCGAAGAGAGCAAGCGAAGACTTATTGAGACATTGATCCATAGGTTCTGAAATGAACTGACTACTTGTTTCGGCGGAGGTGTACGTCACCAGGCGCTTTACTTGGTTGCGGACCGTAGAATGCCTTCTGAAGATAACTGTAAATAAGTCTCGGTTGTTCCCAGGCGACATGAATAAGGATTCGCGGACACTCAGCGACAGCGTCCTAGAATGTAGTGAGTTCTGAGCTGGTCACCTGGTTCTTCAATACTTACCACGGGAGCTCCTATGACACTGTGTCAAAGCCAATGTGACCGGCTATAGACTCACTGATCACTCACTTTTGGTCACAGAAGTGAGTACTTAACGGAGGACCGATGAACAACCTCAATGGCCACCGGCTTCTATGAAGACGTATGAGCCATCCAGCTGTCATTGGCCTTCGTACTTTGCCTCGAGTTTGGTGCTCCAGGGAATCCTGTCCTACTTGCTGCTTCACTCGGGCTGTTTAGGCGTCCTAACTAGGTTGTTTCTACTCGAAACCCGTTTTATCCTCACCTAGATAGCCGGCTCCCAATGGTTGATGGTATACATCAATCGCCCCGTTGTCATTCGAAATAAGCCTTTTAAGCTTCAAGGGTCTGAATGGCGTCCCCTAAATCAACGCTCTTCCTTCAACTGGGCAATCGGGAGGCACCATGCCTACACAACCTATGGATCAACTTACATATCTATGCAATTATCCTTGAACCATATTCGCATGCCAGAATTTCTCTCGCAGACAAATTCTGTACAAGCTCTTTACTAAACCAACATAGGTTCCTGGAGCAGCCGTTCGCAAACTAATCTTTCGCGAAGTGCACATCAGTGTGTTTGATAATCCTTCGGGAGGAAAGGTAACTAGGGTTGCAGTATTCGCAAAACCCTCTAACGAATGAAGTGGTGACACGTGATTAAGATAACAGCGTACGAAGCTGATGCAACGGTCTCATTATTCTTTAGGGTTTCACTCGGGAATTCCACAACTGGAGATGGCTCCTGAGACACTACATGGGAAGAAGTAACCATGTCTGCACGTCATGTGTAGCGAAGCCAGTCTCATCTTCGTTTCTCTGTGAGGATGCATCATAAGTGTGGAGTACACAGCTAGCTATTCGATACACGGTCCATCGAGATGGTAATCTCCTTGACGTACAGTGCGTCTGACGAACTCTCATGATGACAAACTGAAATATAAGCAACTTGATCAGTGAGAAAAGTAATCATACAAGCCTCACCGATCCCCTGTTCGCCATCCAGTAGAGTAAAACAGAGCTAAAGGAACGGCCTACGGCTCAAGTGGGATTGGTATTATTTACTATCTCAATGACATGACAATAATCAACCACATTCCCCTTACAAACACTCGATATGTTTACATCAGTCGAGCCGGGAAGACGCGTAAGGTATGAATTTATGCTAACAAATGTGAACGCGTGTGAAATGTGGGAATGGCCCTCATCCTTCTATGTTGAGATTTCGGAGTACTCGCCGTCTGTCTTGAATTGCGACACGCAATCTCAATTGTGGCTTCGGATGATTTGAAGTCAGCCTCTGCCACTCCGATCACTGGGACCGTATCCGAATTGGTGGATTTTGGTGTGGTGAGTGAGATGGTGGGAGTGATTGCAGCAACACCGAGACCCTTTTCCTTTTATAAGCGTGGCATCCATAGCTTACCAAGTTGCTCAAACGTTCCAGTCACAACTTATTCAACAGTATAAGGCGATAGCGAACTGCTGTAAGAGCATAACTCAGCCCTATGGCCTGGTCGCGCAGCTGTGCAAATAAAACTCGAAACTGAGGAATTGAACTTCTAACTTATGCTCTGCAATACTAAACAGTGAGTTATCTATGCCATGCATATATCCTCCTTAAATTTTGTTTTCTGAAAAATACTTTTAACATGTAAAATGTGCTAATTTTCCGTTGATTCCACTGATCGCGAAGTAAAAGGTAACCGTTTCTTGTTTCGCCCACACTTTAGTGCGATTTCAGGACCGGTTGTGCTACTAGGGTATAAGTGTAAAGATAATGAAACCTTAAAGTGAACAGCCTTCTTCAGCTTGTTACCCTTCTAGAATTTTGCAACTGCGAAGGGCAAGCGGAGCGTGCGTTACACCAACGTTCCAAGTTCAGTGCACTCGCTAATGTTGTTTCGATCTTTCTTTACCTATGTAGCTGTCCGACCAAGCTCCTTGACCCCGTCTATCACAAATTTCCGCATAATCAGTGCCTGAGCCCCATAAGGGTTCACTCATCCGTAAGTACCCGTGACCGCTGCATTCCGAGGTGGGTGTGCAGCTGACCTTCGATTAATATGACCTAACCAGCGGGGATGTCCAATATAAAAATGATGATCTAGCGCACTTGTTACCGGACATCAACTAACAAATCTCACTCGATGCCCTCACTGCATATCAACAGCACGTCATTATGAGTCAGTTATCCATTGTTACAAGTCAATTTATATTCTTGTCGCGGCTTGGCCATGTCTATCATCCGTACTGCAGTTGCGGTCGTCAAGCTGCGTTATTCACTCCCGAATTAATTAGCTTATATGACGCTGACTCCATAAATGGTTCAAACTATGAAAACCTTTCCGAGCCTATCCGTCTTCACATTAGCCACTTCGGTGGTTTGGACACTAGCGATGACACGGATATTCAGGTTAGCAGATCATTGCGCACTTTCTTCTTCTGCACCGGTGACCCCGTTCACCCGTAGGGGTTTTGGATGCTATGCATCTTATTGACTATGGCATACATAGCTTGAAGCGATCGGTAACAGACCACTGTGCCACAGTTTCACCATACAATTGTTAGAACTAATCCATATGTCTAGGTCTACGCCAGTCGAGCTGAGTTTACGGCTCACGGCTGTTTCCATCGCTATTTCAATGGGTTAGTGTCAACGGGTCTCCTTAACCTATTAGTGAAGATGTCAAGGTATGGTTTGTCTGATCTCACCACTGAACTATAAGAAGCAGGAGTGTACTCACAGTATATTTCAAAAGGTCACCTATCGATGCTAACCGTTAAATCACATTGAGCTCATGTCTCATCTTCTTGGCAAGGCAACGTCACCTACAAACCTAGATCTTTCTTGGGTACAACTCCGCACAGTAGAGACCTACTATTGAATTAGATCGAAATTGCAGTATGTAATCCAGCGGTTCCATCCGTTTCGGTACGTGCATGTTGGGCATAGTGTGCAGCCTTGCATCGTTACCTGATATGCGGTTTTTCGATGACGTTGGTCCAGCTGCTAAACATCATTGATACAATATCGATCGTCTTTTGTGTTAAGCCGACGAAAGGAAACAATGAAACGGAAGTGCCGATCAAATCCTATCTTTGTTGGTGGTAGTGAGGCGTCGGTACAGTGTATGACTACTCTAATCGCACACTATGCACTTCTACTATCATCACTCTCTAGTCTCGGATGAGTTTTAACTTTCTTTCATTTTTATTTGTCATTATTCTTAATGGCTCACCCCATATTACTCTGGTGCCTGCATTGGCTCATTTTCCTAGCACTTGTTACCTTGCCCGAGTTCTTGTATTTTGCAACCTCGGTCATCTAGTTTTCCTGCTTATGTGATGTCGACATGACATGTCCCTTATGTGCCTATTCATGTAGTCGGCCGGTGGCCGAAAGGATTACGCGCTTTCCGTTGTAATCTGCTGGTCACCGGTTCGAGTCCGCGTAGTTGCAGGCGACCTGGCGGTTTAACTAGTCATTGCGCGACCGGTAGTGATCACTTAGCAGCGAAGTAACGGTACACTGTATCGACGTGTCGCTGATAACTCTTTGTAGCATTAGAGGATTTCATTGTTGCCCTCTCTCATCACTACGCGTTTTGTCCTTGTTTGGGTTCCTCAGGTAGAGAACGTGGGCTGAAAGTAGAATTCGGCACATAGTGGTTGACGGCTATCACCATGATCACCAGGCCATTAAGCTCTGCGAGCAGAGCTTTTTGCAACACTACTCATACTTTCACCATTTATAAGCGTTCCGCACTTGAATGACTTCTCCGTTTATCATAACCTGATGTTGAAACGCAGAGAATCTACGTCTTATGTTTGCCAGTAAATTTGTGGCTACGTTGATAGCGCTGATACATTTCGGCAACAGAACTAAGACTTTTGCTCCGGTTTACACGTGCTCGCGGAGCTTGGCAGCTGGATTTCACGTTTCATCACCAAACGGCGTCGACGTTTGGTCGACGATCAGATCGGTGAAACTGCACTCGACACAATACGCATTGAGGGCGTCACCTCGTTTTGTGATGAATCGTTTGCAACCCAGTTACCAAATTCGATCTGCACCTGAAAACCGAAACAATCAGCCCGAGTGTTTCAAGTCTTAAATGTCCACAACTTGCTTTCCAACCTTTCCGTGCATTGCTTTATCCACCATCCTTGCAGTATACGTATTCATGTTTCACTGGCCGTTAAGTGTTATTTTGAACTCCAGATACCTGTCGGGTTTCTCGATTGTACGCAGAGACTGGTTACGTTTCTTATCACTCAATTTTCTATACTTTGTTGAATAGTTCCTGCACCGCCTACCCCAACTGGTTATCGGGCGCCCACTCCAATCTTAGTCGTGCTAGGTTGTGGTCTAATTACTAATCACCATTTCCCTTTTTCACAAGGCTTCGCCTTCGTTATCATCCCGATTTCGCGCCCCTGCGGAAAGAAGCAATGTCAAATAGCCTCAAACATCGCCTCACCGTATTCATGGAATTATTTAATAAAGGGTTTTTTGACAATCAAAGTGTTCAAATGGACAATAGCGAAAACCTTATCCGCCTCATGGATACTGTCGTGATTAAACTTGAGGGTGGAACCGACGAAGATTTAAAGGTCTTGGATACGGACAGTTGGGGCCGCTGTCTTAATGAAGAGAAACCTCAATCAAGGAGTACGAATACTGTTCAGGTACTTGTTTGATGTCACTGGCTTATTTTCATTCGGTGTTTTATATCGAGGACAGGATTTCTTATAGTTTTCATGCTGTCACATTCCAGTCGGCTAACATAACAAGTGGACATAGAAGTGAAGAGGGCGAGGCCGAATCTGATTTGGATGCAGGAGACTCCGTGGGTGAACCGTCTGATTCTGAAGTTGTTTGTACAACCGAGTTTGCCGGTAAAGAGAAGCTTCACAGTCATCGGTCGGTAAACGATGCTCACGCTGAGTTACTTGCCACCTCTCACCCAACCCGAGGCAGTGCAAGCAGTGTGAATTCAAGCGATGATGATCTCTCTGTACCGACATCTTCCAATGTTCCTCGTTCTTCGCTGCTAGCAGCTAAAGATATCAAAGGTACTTATTCTCATTTGTGGGTATCTGTTACAATATATCGCATTTTTACGTGTTAGCTATTCTCTTGCATCGATTGTACTCTATTGTGCCCCTCATTTTTACTTCATCAGGAACAAACACCAACCGACGCTCTAGTTCACCAAGCGAGCCCCCTTTAGTTACTCCCGGTGATATCGATGAAGATGCGCCCACTCCAACAACTGCTGAGCCTCCTGATGGTAACGTCGATATCAAAACTCCGTCGTCAGTATCCGTTCCCTTTGAACCGACAACGAATGAACTCGGCCATCAGCTAATTACAAACCCAGCTTTGGATTCTGGACCATGTAGTATGTCGAAAAATGCAAAAAAGTATCCGCTTCACAAAACTGCCTCGATTTTTTTCCGCGCTCTTCCTTCAAATGTTACGGAGTCGGAACTGAAAGATGTAAGGCGCATTTCTATTTCACAGTTTATTCCGCGTTTTTTCATCTTTTAAATCATTTACCTTCCTTTCATTAGCTATGTGCGTCCCAGCCCGGATTTCTGCGGTTGGCATTGTGGGAACCCGTTCCGGAACGACGATTCACGCGACATGCCTGGGCTACATATAAACCAACGGTGAACATTAAGAAAATATGTTGGGCTTTAAATACCAGTCCTCTTGTACGGGAAAAGATGGCCATACCGAACGGAGAGCTCGGTGCTACGGTGAACCGCGATCTGGCCCAGCGGGTCCGTCCGCTGACGCCGCTCACAAGGCACAAACCGATAATGCGTCATGATTTGATTCTTGCGGCCCAATTGGTCGCTCGACTGGATTCCGAAGGCCGTCTGTGGGAGGACGCTGGAATATCAACCGAGAATCTTTGCCTCTCTGACAAAAAGAGTATACCCGAACTGCTGAGACTGGCGATTCAAAGCCAAAACCCTCTGTTGAAGAACTTGACAGACTACCTGGTAGATGAGGGAGGTAGTGAAGAGGAAGCCTTACTGGGTATGTTCCATTCTTTCAGAACACTCAGTGTTCCCCTGGAACTGTTGCCAGTGCTCACTTTCATTCATGACTTGTTCATCGGTCTTACTCGTTCTTGTTTTGTCATTCTTCAGTTTTTCCATCCGACTGTTCTCAGCACTCTTCTCGGTAATCACCCAAGCTTTTGATGCGCAAAATTTACTTGTCTTTCAGCGGAAGCTAATCAAACTGGAGAAGATGTTAATGAGAACGCTGCGGCCAATCGTTCAACCCCGGTTATCCTCGAACCGGACTCTGCACTCGCCAAAGTATTAGACCACCTAATACTCTATCTTCGTGTAGTCCACTCTGTTGATTTCTACGCTGGTACCGTCTACCCCATGGAAGATTTGATGCCCCACCGATGTGGTATACTGCATGCTCGTGGGGATCGTGGTTTGAATCCTACTGTACCCGGTGGACGTTCAGCTGGTTTGGTATTTACTCAAAAAGAGATAGATGACCACTTACGTGTAAGTGTTTGCCACCTTCCAGTTTTTCTTGAACTAACATGATCGATCTAAATGCAATCTCGTATTGCTTTCTGCCTGTCGCTGGTTACTCAAGACGGTGCATAGAACGGAAGCACCGTATTGAATTTGTGCATAGGGTGATCACGCGATTTTCATGTTATACTTCTGGAACCCAAGGCCCGGTCGACATATTTTTCTTTTGTTGTCTCCGTTTTTTTCTTTCATCTTCTGAAGAATTTCGAATTAAAACTCCGGGCGCTGATTGACGTCCCGAAGGATCTCAGCGAGGATGAAATGAAGAAATTGGGTATGCGAGATCCCGAAAAGGTTGTAGAAGATTTTATAGAAGCCAATACTCAGAAACGAACTGGTAAAAAGAAACCGTGAGTTTCTGTTTAGACATTTTTTTGATTTTCTGTAAAATACCTGGGAGTTTGGATGCCACTATTTCCTTCTAGGCACGCTTCAAAATCTATTTCGACTGTCATTTTTATAGGTTGCGCAATATTTTATCCCCACCACAATTTTTCGCTTTTTTTTACTAACTTGATGCTTGTTTCGACTGCCTACGATTTTCGCCTGGTTTACTGTATTTCGCTCATCCGCCATCAAAATCAGCTCTACAAGCGGCTTTACCGCATAACCGGATCATCAGAGTAAGCTTCTTATGTTGACTGATGGGATTGTTACTCAAAAGCGTCACTTTTCTTTCGTTCGACGACTCCAAGGCTTTTGGCCACGATATTTTGACTTCACTTTTCCAAACTATCCCTTCCATTATTATTTACATGGGGATGTGAATTAAACCAACGAGATCTACGCGCTTTAAACACTACCACTATGGCTGGTTGCCTAAATATCTGTAATGCCTATGAGACTTCGTACTCGGCTGTGTCCTGATACTGCCTGCCCTAATAGTTTTCCTGCAGGATATCCCGGAAGCCTGCACAATTCAGACACCCAGTGTTATCTTCTTAATCATCATTCTCTATAGGACAATTTAACAAGACAAACCGCTTGTGCTAATGATTATCGACGTCCTTTCTCGGATCGGTCCGTTACTTCAGCTGCGGTTAATCACTAGACTTCTGTTACACAACAGATGCACTGGTGTCATTCTTGTCGTCATAACCACTAGTGCATACTGCTATGATGTTATTGTCTCCATTTGAAGACGTACAGTGCCGCTTTCTAACAATGAATCCTTTGCAAACTGTAATCAACACTTCCTATTTCTCTTCAGATTCAAGGTCGTTTGGGTTTGCCCATTGTCGGATAAAAAGTTCCGCGAGCCGATTTTTGTCAGAAAACACATCTTCAATAAACACATGGATAAAGTCGAAGCGGCAAAGAAAGATGACGCAATCTTTTTCAACAACTACTTGCGTGACCCTCGACGCCCTTCCCTACCTGAAGCTCCCTATCATCTTGCACAGCAATATCCTTCAAGTAACCCGGGCCCGAATCTTTCTTACCGTGGTTCTCGCGGTCCTAATCGTTCTCTGCTCAGTGGTAGCTACAGGGGAGGTTACCGTATCAATTATCAGCTGAACCCTAACTCCCTACTTCCCGGTCCCAGTTCTGCATTTGGTCGTAGCTCCGGACCCTTTCAGGTCAGTCAACTTTCCGATTTGCTTGTGGAGTTAAATAAGGGTACTTTGTTTTCAGTGCCTTTCGTCCCACTCTGTGTGATTTCTTTAATACTGCTCTACTGCAACCGTCATGTGTTAAACAGCCGTCCAAATTTTGCACGACTCGTTCAAGATGTGCACGCATCTGTCATTTTGCGACGTCTACGCTTTATTACTTACTTGAAGCATTCGAGTCTAGCAAACCCGGTCCATTTTTTCTTGTCGTGTAGCCATGATGATGTTGATAAGTCATGAACTCCACCAATTTGCTCCACTTATTCAGTGGGACATTGCTATGCTTCATTACTGGTTGACTGGTTAATGACGGTGATAGCTATGTGCTCTCCTTTTAATTGTATTTAACCACTAGTACAAGCATTATACTCCTATTTTTCCTCAGGATTACTACGATGTTGCTGCGCAACAGCAGCAGCAGGCCATGGCTGCTGTTGCGGCGGCAGCAGCGGCTGCATTGTATCCGAATGCTACCACCGCAGCTGATCTTTATTCGCTAGCGGCCGCCGGTGCTGGCGTTGGCCCCCGAACAAATGGTCGTAGGACACAGCGGGGAAGCTCCCCACCCAAAGACTATGGTTCTCGTTCCTTTGACACTAGACGAAGAATTAATTCAAACTTCAGTAACAGCAACCGGTAAGTAGCAACACAGCGACTGATCCACCCGCTGTAATTTTGATGTTCATCTCTCAGTGTCTTTTTGTTCTTGAGCCCATTTTAGCATCGAATGTTTACAACTAGACACTGATGCCTCGATCAGCTTCGGTGTCCCTATTTCATGATTCTGGAACTCCTGTAACTCGCTTTTCCATGAAATCCTGCTCTGCATATACATTGGTGATTGCATTAGAAATTCCTGACTAGATACAGCGGTTTACCTTCGGCCACTATTGAGTGTCCATCATTATGTGGAGTGCATTGAGATAAGCACGCATTTTGTTGTTTTGTTACACATCTTATAGAAAAGGCGTTTTATCAAGGACTCGGCAGTGTTCATTAACAAAATGTAGGTTATCAGTGAACTTTTCATGTTTGTGTCTTTATGTGTCACTTTTCCTTTATACCAAAAACGTCTTTCATGCACTCCGCACCTGATCAGTTGAAACCATTTCAGATGATCATCATGTACACATCCATCATTAGTTTAGCTGTTGACCGCTAAGTGTCTCATATATATTCATCATCATCAGTATACACGTTAGCCGCAGGTGGAAAACACCTCAGCTATTGTGCTGCAAGACAAAAGACGAAGAACAAAATACAGACATGCCGGAGAGCTAACAGCCGGCTATCGTGCCGCAAAAAGAGAGTTATTTTATACCTAACGAATGAGATCGTGATTGGAAGGGGGAGGCTAAGCAGTAGGGGAATGGACAAAAGAACTCACAACAAAAACGCCATTGGGGACGGCTCCTAGCTGTATCAGCAAGTGTTTCCAACCCAACTTGTTCATCTTCCTGAGGACCCCAGCCACGCAGTCGGAATGCACCAACCGACGCCCACTTCGGAGTGAGGGTTTTCATTTGTCTATTCATCATACGTGATTTTAGTCGTACATAGGCTTTATTCACTCTCTACATCCACACTACGTTCACACTCACTTTGTTAAACATCGAGGCCAGAAACTGTACATGCCTGCTCGTGGAGCGCAGTCTCGGGAACTAGTAAGGCCAGGTGCACACAAACACTTGTTATACTTCCACTGTTTTATCATATGCTGCTCGTTTAATCTGAAATGAATTAAAGACATCTGATGTTGCTAGCTTTTCTGTTTTTTTTGCGGAATCTATCGGTGCGTGAATTTGTTAAATTACCATTGGTCTGTATCCTACAGCCAGTTTAATCCTAGTATCCTTCGCTTTTATCGATGGAACTGTGATGTGACAGTACAGGGCCTACCTTACTGCGCACCTAGAGTATGTATCTGAGCAGACTATTCGTCAGACGATATCAGCGCTGTTCTAGGCCAAAATTCCTCATTTTTTCTGTTATTGCGGCGAATTTTCCACTTCTGTAATCCACAGTGATTCAATGAAATTTCATTCCAGTGAAATAACCGATCGAGTAGACTCACCGCTCCAATGAGATACAAAATGAGTTCAGAAATGTTTGCACACCGGTTGGTATCCGAATAGCGGAATATGTTTGGAACCGATCGAGAAATCATGACTTCAGAGAGGTTTGGAAACAAGCGATTAGTTTGTTTGCTGGACAATGTCTCGCTTTTGACACCAAACGAAGTCAAAGTCAGAAACAAGATTCTTGAACCCGACTGGGAACATTTTCAGTACTTTACACTAGCACTGCAGATGCACTGAGGTATAGTATTGACATGAGATTCCAACCAAAAAAGAAGAAAACATGCATAGGCATCACTCGAGCAAATGTACACGCGTCGTGCTGACAAGTTCCTTGGAGTGCACAAGAAACGCGTTAAATAAATAGAGTTATGCTAACATGTGAGAGAAAACAAAACCCTAAATTTAGAGAACTTTTTGATTAATCAGCGTAAAGAGCATGAGAAGGATCCTTTAGAACCTCTATGGACAGTTGTCACGTACACCGAACTGCTTACTAACGGTAAAATTAACCAGACTGGGCAGTTTACCACACCTGGAAAAGAGCTTAATTGCACGCACAATCCATGTGAAGTCTTTTTATAGATGACCAAGGAAAATGTTAGGTGGACTAATGATGAAGAATACAGGCAGACATGAATTTGCAGATTAGAGTGCAGAGTACTGAACGCATTTTAAGTCTCAGGGCGTAAAATGATAGTTTTCGCACATTGCGGAACTTTTTGATTATGAGGGAAATCAACATACAATCAAAGAAGTAACTGCGCAAAAGATATCCTTTTCTATAATTCTCACCGGGCGTATTCAATTATGAAGCAAAATACTGGAGGGAATATTGCTCGTAGAAGCTTGTTTAGCTTGGGTAACGGACTATACAGAAAGCAACCAACTCATTAATCAGGCAGTATGAAAACTAAATCAACGGTTTGATCAATCAGACTGTCGCGTTAAGAAGCATGTGTCAAGCCTGGTCATATGTCAGTCTTGAAGGCCGAGGCGCAACGACAGAGGTACTTCAAAGTCAAGATAATTTCAGGGCCTGTACCAGCGTGCGCAGTTTGCACAGCTCCGGTTTCAGAACCTTGATTGCAATGGCTTCAGCAATGGTCATCATGTTTCTTAAACCTTTTTGGGTAACGTTTAGGGATGGTATGAATGACTTTAAATGACTGATTCATTTTTACTTGTTGTCCATTGTCAACCAAGTGTTGTAAAACGGAACTGTTTATGGATTTTACCGGGCCTTTTCGTAGTGACGCGGTACAATGTTCATCGGTGCTTTTAGACAAACACCTGGTCGTAAATCCAAGATACCTAGCAGCACAAGCGCAGGTAAACTGGTATAAGACAAACGATTCCGACCGAACCGTGAGTTCTTCCTTTAAGCGCTAACCAATCAATGGTCTTGTTTCGGCTAGAAGTTTTAGATTGGCGGCTGGATATGTCTTGGCCACTGCCGTCGGTATTTTTCTATTCAACGGTTCGAACGCGACCTAACCTTTAAAGGGAACTGTAAGGAATACCTCATCTTTGGACACTCTAGTGACAAACTTAACAGAATCAGGTTGTTTGGAGTGCTTTTTGATGAAAGGCACAGGGTACCCGTTTTCTTGCAGCGTGTTGAAGATGAGCATAGTTACCTTTTCCAGCGTCTCGGGGTTGCAGATTGCTGTGGCACGATGATATAAACAGCGAACTAAATTCATCTTGTACCTCAGCGGTACATAGCTAAGAAAGTGAGTATGTTGACGTACCCACGTCACTTTACGAAAAACACTTCTTTTGATCGTCCTGTTTTCACGCCGATGCAATAGAACGTCTAGGAACGCCAATCAGCCATATTGCTCAACCTCACTGGTGAATTTTAATGATGTATGCTCTGTTAAACTGATCTAATAGGGTTAGATAATCAATGGAAGAGTCATGGATAATGAAAATGTCATCCATGTAACGGTAGTACTAGTTTTCATACTGCCCGGTTAATTAGTTGGTCGCTTTCTACAAGCTTTATTCCCTCCAACATTTGTCTTCATAATCGTATACGCCCGATGAGAATTATCGAGAAGGATATTCTTCGCACATTTGCTCCCTTCTGACTCAAATGGGGATAATTTATGAATTTGAGAGGAATTTTATAGCGAACAGAGACGATACTCACGGTAGCAGAGTCACACGCCAAGGTCAAGATGTCGCTTCAAGTGGTACATCAACAGTAGAAATAATCCGGATGTTTCTTTGTGCGCCATGACATTGACAGATAGACCCACAGTGGTGATACTGCGGCGTCGAGTTGCATTTTCCAATCTGATCCGTGCATCGACGTTCATCAGACTGGCTCGCCACGCACTTACTAGTTTGACGGCAGCTACGGCGCGCGGAATGGGCCGCGGTTCGACAGCCTGGCTGACGGCCAAGACGCTATGCGGCGGTTCATGGCGGGAGGGGATCCGTTCATCTTCGCAGTCTACATCTGTGAATTGCTGGCCCGGACGCTGCCTAACTTGGATGAGGAGTCAACAACTGTTGGTGGAACCGTTTTTGGATGGTCTCCCTCCGACGGTAGCCGATCGTCTCCGGATTTTAAACTCCACCCAGAGAATTGGCGTGATGGAGCTTGCCCAAGTAGCGAGAAAGCTTACACATGAAGCAGTTGCTGCTTTGACAACGGAAGACAAAGCAAAGGAGGAGCGATTGAACGAGTTAGAAGAGAGACTGGAACAGATTACGCAAGACATCGGGGCACTTCGAGTTCCCTCACTGAAGATACGGCTGAAGGGACGCTGCTTCATTTGTGGGAAATTGGAAGCGCCAATGTCCGTCAAATCGCAGCACAATTTTTGTACGAAATCAATGCCACCAATCGTACTGTTCTCGTGTTGCGGAGTGCATCCTTGGGGCGTTGAATAAAGGTGCGATTGAGGCGATGGTAGAGGTGAATGGGAAAGTGGAGAGGTGTCTGATTGATACAGGAGCCGCAGTTTCCTTAATCAGTCACAGAGATGGGGTGAAAACTCAATCGTGTTCCATGGTTGTGAAGGCGGTCGGTGGTTACCATATACGCATAGGTGGTATGGCGGAACATGTGATTGGAGTTAGGGGTCGGAAATTAAAACATCTCTTCGTGTCGCCGGACACAAAGCAGACTATCCTGGGTGCTGACTTTCTCCAAGTCAGTGAAGCAATCGTCGATCTGAAACGAGGAGAGCTGGTTACGAAATACGGAGCTATCCAGCCTGTTGGTAGAGAAGAACCCATGAGGGTGTGCTCGGTCGTGGCCGTTTTACACACAAGTCCAGCCCTTCAGTCACTTGTGAGCAAGTACGATATCCTATTTACGGATGGCATTAGTCCTTATGGGTTTTGTGACTGGGTTGAACACGCAATACCACTATCCCCTCAGCCGTATCGGCCGCACGGACCCAGAAGAGTACCAATACACCTGGAAGCTGTGGTCAGAAGGTAGGTGCAGGAGGTGCTGAACGCAGGCGTAATAGAGGAGGCTCACTGTCTATATAACTCTCCAATCGTTTTGGTGAAGAAAGCCGACGGGAAGTACCGCTTTTGCGTGGACTTAAAAAGGCTGGAGGAAATATCGCTGAATCGATTCGTTCCGGTGTCTTCAGTCGCAGATATTTTTGATAAACTGCAGAAGTCAAGGATATTTACAGTACTTGATCTGAGGTCTGGCAGCTGGCGATCAAACAAGAGGACCGAGAGAAGACAGCGTTTATAGTCGGTGACAAACAGTACCAGTTTAAAAGGATGCCGTTTGGATTATCTGGTGTCTCTTTTACCTTCCGGCGTTTGATGCTGCGACTACTAGATGGATTAGAGAATGTGACCGTATATGGCGACGACATCGTTGTGTATAGTGAATCGAAGACAGCACACTACCGTCGTCTAGAATCAACGCTGCAAAAAATTCAGCGGTCTGGATTACGGATAAATGGGTCGAAATCTCAAATCGGGAAGACGCCTGTGACACTGCTTGGTCATAATGTGGGTCATGGTGAACTCAAACCGCTGCCGGAGGAAGTATTGGCAATTCGAGACACCCCAGTTCCGACCTCAAAGCGCAGTCTCCGGGGAATGTTGGGCCGCTCTGGATATTACAGTAAATCTGTCAGGTATTTTAACAGCTTGGCGTCACCTTCGTATGAGCTGTTGAGCGAATGAAAGAAATTCACTTGGACACCAGAGGCTCAGCGAGCGTTTAATGGCATTCAGAAGGAGATGGGAAGGCAGCAACTGACTTTAAAATTGCCGATCTCCGGGGAAACGTTCACTGTGGCCACAGACGCAAGGGACGTCGGAATCGGTGCGGTGCTGAAGCAAGCAAGGCACGGTGGAAGACACTAGTAGAATTTTGACCCCATCAGAACGCAAGTATTCGACAGTGGAGAAGGAGTGTCTTGCCATTGTGTGGGCTCTAGACAAGTGGCGACCGTATTTGTTGGGTCAACGGTTTCACCTAGAAACCGATCACAAACCATTGGAATGGATTAGTTCCTCTAGCGATGGACGCTGCGCCTACAAGAATACGACTTTACGATAAACCACATACCGGGAAAACAACGAGACGACAGGTTTTTTATCAAGCATGACGAACGATGAGGATTTGCCGAGTATTGCCTTTGGTGTCGGTGGTCTAGTGCTGGAACAGGACCTGAGTAAGTTAGCGGCTAAACATCGGAAGGACAGACTTTTGAAGAGAGTGATAATAGCACGAATAATGAACCAAACTGCTGCAACCAAATACCAGCGCAAGCAATTCGGGCCATTCGCACGGAGCCTGGAAAAGTTGCATGTCAACGAAGCCGGAATTCTGATGTGGACACAAGGACGCGACACTACGCCAGTGCCGGTGATCCCCCTCAAATGGAGAAAGAAGTTGGTTATTTCGCGTCACGAAATGGCTCACACCGGGTACTCCAGGACATATGATTTGCTTATACAGCGAGCTTACTGGCCGAACATGAAATAGAACGTCGATGCATACGTGCTCGTGTCAGCAGTGTCACCTTCCGAAAGTATACAATCAAGGGGCACCACAACCTGTGTTGTCCATTCTAATGTCCGAGATCGGTGCGATGTGGTCAATCGACGTGATGGGGTCGTTCCCGTTAACCAGACGAGATAATCCGTACATAGTCGTGATGACCGAGCACTTTACACGATGGATTGAGGCGGCGGCGATTCCTGATCAACGCGCTGGCACGATAACACATGGCATGATGAAACACGTGATAGCGAGTCACGGTGGAGGTAGCAGTCCTGGAACCCGGGACCATTTGTATGTTAACCGAAACCTCTATCCCTTTGGCTGTGTCAATGTTTGACACAACGCTTAATAACTGATTACAGGTTCATTTGAAGTACTTGTTATATGAATGGATTGCGACACGCATGTTCAATGCAGACCACGATTCACATTGAACTGATCCTTGGTCAATACGATCACTGTGACCGTTGCCGAACAAGATGGAAATTGAGTGGAGATAGCAGGCCTTGGCTAATATTCCACTGGTGAGGTTAGTGACATCGAAACGCTTCGTGGTGTGCAATGTTTTCAAGCGAGCGATACCAACGGGTTGTTTTCAAACCGTTGTTGGAATCATGAGTTCTCAACCGGTTCCAAGCATTGTTCAAGATGTTGTAGTGCTTTAAATAACAAGATGCCGACACCATCGTTGTGCTTCTATACTTTCAACGCGAATACATGCGATTTAAGCAGTGTCCTTCACTTTGTATGCTTGTAACCATTCGCCTAGCTGATCACTTCCATTGCTTTAATGAAACGAAGCACCGTCGTTGTGCTGTTCAGATTCATGCTTGATCGAATTCCGATCTCTACTCTATGGCCTAAATCAGATTACTCTGCGTTATTTATGTTTGAGACCTGGGGAATTAGGCGATTGCTTTATGTGATTTTTGGAGTAACAAATGCGGACCGTGGGTGGACACCGCTATTATCTTTAGTTCTGATGAATAGCTGAAAGGATAAATCAAATGCTGTGTTGTTCGAATCCTGGAGTTATCGAGACCGCTTGCGGTACTCTTACTCAAGAAGTAAGCCTCGCTTAACGTCATCCCACCACGAACTATACCTTCTTCGACCTTTTTAACCCACGATTCCAGCAACCTTTTCTAAGCCACACTTCTACTCTTCGTGCGCCCATTTTAGACAGAGACACCTCGGTCTCTATGCTCTTTATACTGTGATCCTACTCATTCAATATCAAAACAGGCTTCATACTATCTATCATTATTTACAGCATTATTTCAGTACTTCGTCTCAATACCGTCTAACCATAAACAGTTAGGCGGCCTTATGGATTCGAATGTAAGCTTTAGTTATTCCAGGCGAACGTTCAGGGTCAGGACACCCACATCTTGTCGACACTGCACGGTCGTGAAAGGTGGGTTATGGTTTTGTTCTAATGCAGCATCAGCAAGGCATCTCCCTTTTGACTTTTGCGACCTCACGCTATAAGGCAAGCTTCTCACAACTAACGCAAGTTGTTCATCTCGGTGCGTGTAGCCGCAGTGATTGCAATTTCTTCTTCATAAGTGAAAAAGGATCTGGGTATTTATTTATTTGTGAAACATTCTATAAATTGGCCTGATGAAACTTTTGTCAGTAGTGAAATCTTACCTAACTATACCAGGGAGTTGTTTTCAATGCGTTCATGATCTCTTGATCGGTTCCAGGTATATTAAAAGATATTAAATGCATTGTTTTTGCTTCAGCAGTCCAGCGCTTTGGAAGTCTTTGTCTTCCGTTGACTATCTTGGTGGGCGCATTTCGATTTTGCTTCACATATTCTCCGTTTATAAGTACTACCGATGTGCATCTATACAATGCTGATTCATACACCGACTTTTACTTAGCCTTCTTCACAATGCACATCATCCCGTGATCTACTGCTCATTTTCAGGCGACCTTATCGCCCGGGCGATCGTAGCATGATTTCCTACAACGATCTGGATGATCCCGTCAATGATGGTTCGCAATAAACTAATATCGCATATCACTGTTTCGCCGTTCAACTCGCTGTTAACTTCTGGTGTAAAGCTTTTCTTCTGTGCATTTCTCTACTGACATCCGAACTATACAGTTTGATCATTCATGCACTTGCTGTTGCTTACTCTAACGCGATTTGTTTCCCTTTATTATTATTATTTTATGGGATGTAGCTTATGTGTATCACTGCGCATAACGTCCCGGTTCGAAGAGAGCACGTTTGGCTTTGCGTAGACACTTATCGAGCCTTACTGATCTAAACTCGTTTCTTGACAGTATGGTTTTGGTCTTGATTCTTAAATCACGGAGAACAGGTTAATCGCCCCGTGGGGGTTTATCCTTTCAGGCGATCACCTGACCTTATCAGCATTAAACGAGTGCTGCCTACGTTTTTGTCGGTGCCCACTACTTATTGCTACTGGGATAAACAGTACTTGTCACAAACGGCAGCTCCATCACGGATCAAGCCACCACCCATCCTCCTTACTATGTTCGTGAAATACACGTGTTATCCCAGCTACCATATACTGTTTAAGCGTGACTTTGCTACAAAGCCAACTTTATTCCCCTCCGCATGCGACTGCTTTATTCTTTCTCCTTTGCATGACGTATATCGTGTTCGAGCGGCGGCACACATACCACCCATCGTCCTAAATCCAACAATCACCCTTAGCCCCTTTCACGTGCATGCGTCTGTAAACGTTCGCATTTAATGGCAGTAGATAAATCCGAAAACAGGAGTGCTCATTGCAATAGCTCACTTGATTGATCTTGCATCCCAACACGAACAGGATTACATGGGTCCCCTCACTTATGTACACCCAGTCATATCATTCACTCGTGTGCATCTCCTGTACGCACAATTCCCATAAAACCATTACTTGTGTTTCAAGGTGGGTCAGTGAAAGCTCCAATGCGGTGTCATGATCACTAACCAGTAGAATCTTAACTGGATCAAGGTTTACTGCTATCTGTATGACGCTAACAAATTTCCTTCTCATAGTTAAGCTCTGCGTTCATACTTGATTGGGTTGTTTACACTTATTTTCTACCCATGCTTTACCGGTATCTCACTCGTTAGGCATAATGTGACTCTCTTTTTACAGCACGATAGCCAGTTGTTAGCTCTCCGGATCGATGTCCATCCGTTACTGGGGACTCAGCCGACGTGCCACTGTTTGTTTTCTTTTTCTTGTCTTTTGTATTGTGGCACAATAGCTGAGGTGTTTTCCACCTGCAGCTAACGTGTATAATGATGATGATGTTTTACCGGTTCGATAGCTTCGCTTCGGTTCATATGAGTTGATTCATTTGGATATCCGTTGCCAATAGAGTTATGCTGCTTAGAAACTAGTCGAAGTTCACACGAGCGACTATTGGCACCAAAAGCACACTCACATTTCTAGCATCCTCCTGTATATAGAAGATCGACGTCTCAGGTTGTTTAGTGTTTTTTCCCTCGTTGGGATAATGTATTCGTTTCAAGCTGCCCACTCGTGAGAAGCCATAATACCTTTTGATCTCGTGATACTTTTAGGGGCTTAAGGGTAATCAGATGCTTGCAAAGACCTGGGAGTTAATTGCGGGCCCCGGGTGTTTATGTAGCCAGCTTTTGAGAGAGACAGGATCGTTTGCTACCAGACCAAACAGAAAAAGCATTTGTAGATCAGTCCCTTCATATGCTCCCGCGTTACCACTGGATCAGCGGGCACGTATCATCCGCTGCTTGCTGTCGCACAGTCTATACCGATTTACTTGGCTCCAATGCGGTATACAGCTTCTTCGATGATTGTTTTCCCTTCATCGGACACCTGCAGGGCTACCGGTTTTCTACATTGTCTTTACTAACGTTATATTGCCATTGTACACCAGTAATGCTTTGAATGCAGCGGTGATCAAAATAAACGGCTTGTGAACATCTTTTGCAAGAACAAGCCAAGTCTCGGAGTCTTGAAACAGAATCGCTGTCACCGCATTGTAGACTCGGATCTTCAGAGTGACTCTCAGGCCGAGTTAACACCAGAGATGGCGGAGACCGACCAGCAAAAGCAACCCTAGTCCTAAGGCTAGGGTTGCGCACAGATACCTCATTCGTTAGCACTGAGGCTGCTTCCAAGGTGAACGAACTGGTCTACCACTTCAATATGTGAGCGTAGGGGCATCTCGAAGTCAGTCGTATAGGGTGACCTTACGTTCCGATTGAGCGAAGGTCATTACAACCTGAGAGGTAGACATCTCCAACATACACAGCACGTTTCGTGCGGTCTGTGAGGTATCTGCACACTATAAATCGTGGAGTCGACTCTCCGGAAGTACCTGGACGCCGCTACGTTCGCAGTTGTCCAGAGCACTCTCCAGAATGTTATCCATAGCGAGATTGAATAGGAGGGGTGATGCTTTGCGGCCTTGTCTCACCATTCGAGATAATAACGAGAGGCGAAAGTTCGCCGTGCACCCGCACTTAGCCCGCGATTTTAGAATAAATGGCTCCAAAGGTGTTCTCATGCTTCTCGGGCACTCCCGTTCTCAACAGACAACTCCAGAGGGCAACTCAGTCGACTGGGTCAAACGCGGCTCGTATGTCTAAGAACGGAACGATCGTTGACCGGTCAAAATTTTGACGACGCCCGAGGATTTGTCGGATCGTAAAGATGTGATCGATACAAACTTGGCCATAGTGTAATAGCTTACTCCTCGCGTACCAGGCTGAGACTCCTTAAAATAGAATGGCGCGCACTCTGAGTGCAACGCAGACATGACTATTCCTGGGGTTAGCTAAGTTTGCTTGGTACCCTTTTTGAAGACGAGCGCAATGTCCGCTAAGCTATAGTCAACCAGGATTGCTTAGGTGACCTAAAACTCTTGAAGTTAACTTCCCAACAAGTTATGTATCTCTATCATTTTAAGAAGCCGGATGGAGTATGTCTGGGCCAGCGGCTTTGTAGCAGTTTAGAAAGCGAAGTTTACAACCGTCCTCAGATGGTGGTGAAGTGTCTACACACCAGACAACGCTGGATTCCTAAGTGGAAACTCACCGGTGCTGCTGGTTTCCCGCAAGTCTTCGCTTACCGTTTGCTACCAAGGTATCATGACGAAAAGCTCTCGGGAATTCAAATCTGCGAAGAAATTTCTTTCCGACAACTCTCATCGAACTCATACTTCTTGTTATAATCTCACTAAACGCAATTCTAAAAACAACAACTTACTGCTCCACAAAACTTCTAGCCCAACCGAAGGAAAAAGCAAAACGCCAATGACCTTGACGGAATAACGTATTGATCGCCGCCAACGAACACTACAACTACTGCAGACCTTGGCTGTATTTATAGGTCCCTTACTGACATTCGGCTTCTGGAATTGGAAGGTCAGCTACCAAGGTTAGTGGTTCCCTATATATTTTGCCGAGGTGTCAGGTGGTTCTTAATCGCGTGCAGAACTAGAACATTCCGGAACGTTTAGTTCAGATAAGCGAGAAAACGTAAAGCTCTCGCATTTTCGTGCTTGCACAAAAGTGTTACAAGCTTTTCCGCCGAACATTTTCAATAACTGCTTCCTCCGCAACAATCCCAAATGGAAACACAAGTGAAACTGATTGAACGTTTGAGGCAGTGCTTAAACGTACAGTTAAACGGAGCAGCTACACAGGACACGCAGGTTGTTTCACTTGATCTTCTTGCGAATTCAGTCACAACTTCATTATGATGCTGATTCCGAATGCACTTTCTGGGCGTGGTTCAAACGCTGGGAGGATATGCTTCGGACGGATTTCAACCGTCAAGATGATTCATGGAAAGTGCGTCTTTTACTCCACAAGCTTGGTACTAATGAACATTCAAGACTGGTCGACAACATGCTGCCCAAAGAGCCGAAGGTCATCACTTTCAAGGAAGCAGTGGCAACACTCAAAGAAATTTTTGGTGAGCCAACGTCTTTTTTTAACATTCGACATCAATGTCTAAACATTGTTACGCAGGATACGGACTATTCTGGGGCACTAGCAGACATGAATAAGCGTAGATGTGAACGTTTCAAGTCACGCTGTTTGACGGATGACCAATTTAAGTGTGTCATGTTTGTCAATGCTTTACAGTCTCCACGCAACGCGGAAATCCGCACTCGGCTCCTTGCTAAGTTGGATCAAGATCCAGATTGGACATTGAAGTCTGTTGTGGGCGAATGCAAACAATTGATCACCGCTATGATTGAACAGAGTCCACCCACCATTCCCGATACTGTTCATGCTGTGCAAAAAGCAAGAAGGGCTGGCTCGAACAAGCCGCCTACACCTTGTTGGTCATGTGGTGAATTGCATTTGGCACGATACTGTCCATTCAAGCGTCAGATTTATGATAAGTGCCATAAACGCAGCCACAAGGAATAATCTTGCCATCAGTCCAGGCCAAGAAGCGTGAAGCGATCCTACCGAAAGAAGAACTTCAGGAAGCGTGACGCAGAATCACTATCGGTGAGTGCCACTTTTTACAGCGATTCTAAAACACGCCCCCGATTCTTCACTGTGCTTATCAATGGGATCCCAACCAGCCTGCAGTTCGATGCCGCTTCAAATATAACGATCACACTTGGAAGCACTTAAAGCATCCGAAGAGGGTTGGATCCAACAAAGTCGCCCTCAACGCATCCGGTGGAGTGCTGAAGCTGTTCGGAGAAATAACTTGCAAAATGGCGTTCAACGGAGTGGAACAGGCCGGAATCTGCTACTTGTCTGACCGACCAAACTTGAACCTCCTTGGACTTGACTGGATGGAAAAGTTACAACTGTTTGATGTTCCAATGAGTCAGATTTGCAACGGAGTCTAAACCGATCCAATCCATGCATCATTGTCGATAGAAGACATGACGAGAAAGCTAAAGCAGAAACTTACCTCCTCGTTTGAAGGTGGTCTCGGTCACTGCACTAAGTTCAAAGCAAAGTTGTGCCTTCGCGAAGGAATCAAGCCGGTCTTGAGAGCAAAATGGCCGGTACCGTATGCAGCCATGGCAGCAGTTGATCAAAAGCGAGCCGATGTCATCACACCATTGAACTATTCTTCATGGGTTGCGCCTATAGTTAGTGTGAGTAAACCGAACGGTAAAGTGCGTGTCTGCGCTGATTTTTCGACTGACCTGTATGCCGCACTGGACGACCATCAATACCCCCTTCCGATACCAGAGGATATCTTTGCTAAGCTGTATACTGGAAGTTTTCGCCCAGCTCGACTTGTCCGATGCCCACCTCCAGGTCGAGGTTGATAAAGGCTCGAGAGAATTGCTGACCAACAACACTTATCGTGGCTTGTACCAGTACAACCGCCTCCCTTTTGGAGTGAAAACCATCAGCCATCTTTCAGCAGCTGATGGACACCATGCTCGCGGGAGTTTCGGAAGCCGTGGTGTACCTGGATTATACCATTTTAATGGGTCGAACGGCAGAAGAACTATTTGAGCGGCTCGCTGAAGCGCTTGAACGCACCCAGTCATGTGGTTTCCGTATCCGTGAAGACAAGTGTA